TCAAGGACCACTGAAGGGAAAGAGGAGGACACCAGGGACAAGAGCTCCTCCTGCACCCCCAAGACCAGACAGAGACAGCACACCTGTGTCTTTCAGTTTCCCACGATTCTGCAGAGTAATAGCTCTGGACCTCCCTCCTAATGTGGCCTTGAAGTCACCAGTACAGGTTGGTGGTGAGAACCAGAAAGTGTGTGTGTCACTGCTGTCCCTGTGTTGAAAATGCAAAGCCATATTGTACAATTTAATATGTGACCTGGTGCTCCAAACCCAAGCAGCTGTTCTTAGATAGCTCAGAAACACCCAGTTTGCAGGATTGAACTCTCCTGCCTTTGAAGTTATAGTATAATGTAGGAGGAGTTCAGAAACTAGGTAACTTGCATCCTAGTTCTTAACACTTCTGAGCTGGGTGGTTTGTCCTTTGTGTGATGCCATAATACTGTCAGACTCGTCAGGCTGTTGTCAGATTCTATGAGTGGATGCATTAAAGGGCTCAGAAAAGTGCACAGCACGTATTTAATACCCAATTTAGAAATCCTAGGCATTAATGTAGCTATAGTTGTTTAGTCAGCGTACGAGTAGATCTTTCTTTAATTTTACCAATACAGGAGACTTTGATATACATATCAGGAACATTTTAGGCCTTTATATGATGAAAACATAAAGATGCTACCTGTTAAGAAGGGAACCGAATTAAAATTGAGAAAGAAAGGCAATCTCAAAACCTTTTTAGAGCGCAAGCAATCTATTTTACATACTTGCTGTGTAAACATAATTATTGGCAAAATTCTCTAACTCCTGGCCTTTACATGGATAAAGAGGAACAGCAGCCTCTTATGGACAAGCTGAGGCTGGGAACTCAAAGAATTAAGAATCGGACAAGAAATGTTTTCAATGTGTTTATCTGGAAACCATCTGAAGTGCCTGCTCTACTAATAAAGACAAAAATCTGCAATTTTGCTCCTGTCCCTCAAACTACTTGTAGTGGCTAAGGGGCTGGCAGGACAGCAGGAGCAGACCAACCATTTTATCCTCACAGAAAAGGGCTGATGTTATTCTCTACCCTTATAAATCTCTCATCCCTCCATAGAAGTCCAAAAGTTTAATAAAAACCTGCTGGAATATGAAAAAATGATTAAACATTTATCAGAACTTGCAATGTGATACTGAATGGTTCTAGTCCTTCTCTAGGCACCTGAAAGGCAATTGAAACCACGAGCTTCTTTTCAGAGCTTGGAGTTGAAGCATTGGAGCGATATTTAAATATAAAAGTAAACTAGGAAACGCCTCTCAGGAAAGCAAGCCCTCTTTTCAGCATTTCTTCCGCGTTAAGGCAGAGGTCTCCTTGTCACGCGTCCTAAAGGACCGCGGTTTCCCGGGCGCTGACCCCAGGCGTTGCAGTGTCACTGTGCTTCAACCCCAGCCAACTGCCCCGCCCTGCGGAAGCTGCCGGTCAGTTCCACACCCCTCTTCCCCCAGGTCTTTCCTCCTGCCGCTTGCTCAGTTGCTTTTCTGTTGAAATGTGGCAAGTTCTTGCAAAGTGGATTCTTTTCTCTGATTTGCCAGATCTGGGATCACGCTGTGTCTATGTCTACTCTCTTCTCTTTTGTTTCTTCTTCATTGATTGCTCTGAAGTTACTTCTGCTACTGTTTAACTAATGGCTTCCTTTCTATCATCGTAAGCAGCTCTTTCGAAGGAGAGTAAAATATTTCTTGGTCACATTTTTAATCATATCTGCTTATCATACATATATACTATATATAGCGTTATACGGATTATATACATATATACAATATATACACATATAATATATTTACTATCTATATGCAAGAATCACAACAAAGGTAAAACACAAAGGCTGCAAAATGTTCTCAGAACTGCACCATACTTTCCTCCATAACTCTAGCCTGCCGTTGCTCTATCTCTAGGGATTTAGACAGACACCTGGGTGTGTGTTTCTGAACTGGGATAGTCTGATTGTGACCCTCTTTCCGTATAACCCATCACTACTACTAATTGACCTCAGAAAAATAATTTGAACTGAGTGAGAAAGATGCAAACTTTACTCACTGTCCCTCCAGCTCTGGCTGAGCAACCAATCTCATGTCCCTCCTCACCTCATACCTGTGCTCCTGGGACGCTTTTTGATGCCTCTCCTTCTCTTCCTCTCCTGTCGGTGATTGCACACCTGCCAGGTTGGAGGTCAGCTGTTAGTTCATCCAGGAAATCATCCCTCGCTACCACTGCAGTCCCAGGATTAAGCCTTTATCCTCTGTGATCTCACGGCTAACAGCATTAGAGGCCAGACATACCTGGGTCAAAATCTGATGCACTTGCACTTAGAATGCACAGTCCTCGGTTTGGGAATCACCTCCTGGGCTTTTAAAGTGACAGAGTTCTGGGTCCCATCCTTGGAGTTTCTGACTCGGTGGGCCTGGGATGGGTCCCGAAGATGTGCTTTTCTAACAGTTTTCCAGGTAACATTGGTGATGCTGTTCTGGTGATCACACGTTGAGAAACACTTATTTAGATAATTTGCTTATCTGATTTTCTCAGCTTTATGTTAGGCATCTACAAAATCGATGCAGAAAAGGATGTTTTTAAAAATGAGTTGAGGCCGGGGATGTAGCTCAGCAGCACATGCCTGCCTTGCAAGCACAAGGTCCTGAGTTCAATCCCTGGTACCAAAACATAAAAATAGAAATGAGTTGAGGTTTTATATATACATACATACATATACATAAACATACGTACATACACATATACATATATATATATATATATACATACACACATACATATACACACACACACACAGAGTTTGCTGTGTTAGTGCTTAGTCAGTGCCAGTTGGAATTGTGTTTACGCTATCATCATGTGAATCGCAGGCTGAAGAGACCATGCCAAGTACACTGGGAAGTCCTCAAAGATCAGAGTTGGTTTTAGTATCGTTGTGTCACAGGTATCTTATGAAGTGTGTTAGCGCTTAGCTAACACAGCATATAATGGAATGGATTCAGTGTGAAATTCATTAATAAATTCACTCAATAAATATTTAGCACAATGAATCTAGTGCTTCCTAAAGGTAACCTCTACCTGGAATATCCCAGGTTCTCTAATTTAGCTTTCCATAGTCTCGATATTTTTGGAATCCTTTCTACTGATTGGTTCCTAAGTCACTTTTTGTTATGGTGAGTCAGTCCCACAGTTTTCATTTCTAAGAAGATTACACAAGCAATGTAGAAAACTTCTTTCTGAAAAGAACTAGAAATGAGTAACCACATGGTCTACTGAGTGAAAGCAGTTGTAACAATACACTGACTGCCTTGTGGGCCTGAACACATGCCTTCCTTTAACGCTGGATATAGGTTCAGAATTAACGAGTGAAGCATCCAATGCTCAGTTATCTGCAGATTCATGAAGCCCTCATTTTAGAAGTCTTCTTGCTTTTACTGTTAGTCTCTGTCCCTGTCCTGTCTTTCACTTTAAAACATCGTATTTTCTATACTAATTAGTTCAACAAATATTTTTTTCCACCGTCTGCCAAATGGCAACCATTAATCTCATACAGGCTCCTATCTTGCAGAATGTAAAGCATGGTATATGCTGACCTGTGCTGTAGTTATTTGGTTCCCTGTCTTTCCTGCTAAATCTGAGTCTTCTGATGGTGGGGAGGGGGGGGTCTAATTGAATTTTTAGTCCAAGTCAATATCTGGCATGCAGTAGATATTCAGACATTTGGATAATTCGTATTTACATAAGACACCATACTTATTATATTGGTGTGGGAAATGGAACTGAACATAATGATTATACACTGTCGGTCCATGAAACAGTTGGCATTAGTTAGTAGTCTGTGAATTACAAAGTGTGTGTTCCAATTTTAATCAGGACCAGCCAGTAAAATATAGGAGATTTTATGTAATGGTCCTGTTCCCAGCTTGTCTTGAAAAAGCCCACATTCCTTTGTCCCACTGAGGGGCTGAAGCTGCTCCCCATTCAGCTGCACCTTGAACGCTCTCGTGTCTCAGCCTCCCTAATGCATTTCACATGTATGAGATGTGACCAAAATACATGGTATTACAATAAAAGACACATTGTCATGGATCCCTCTCAAACTGCTTCCCTTTGCTTCAAACACAGTCATCCCGTTGTCCATGCCCCTTTCTAAAGCAGGTCTAGAGTTGTCTTTCATGTCTTTACAAGGTGTGATCTACACTGCATTGAATCCTGCTGGTCCCTGCCATGGGAAGGCAGATTTCTGAAAACATTAACATGTATCTAAATCCGCCTTAATGACCCAGCCTGGCACCATGCCACTTGTGACTCTTCCCCAAAGTCTAAATGAAAGGTAAAATTTTTTGGAATGGATTCAGGATATGGAGGCAGCCAGGACAGTGCAACTAAACAAGGCAAAAGCAGACTTCAGAACTTCTTTAGAGAAGTGTGTTTAAAGTGAGTGGAAGTATTTTCAGAGGGTTTAATGACAATGAGTCTTTTACTGTTATAAATTTTTTTTAATTTAAGTTTCTACTGTAGTCTTCACTCACACCTTAGGGTATCATGTTTGTCTGTGAGATTCTTTAAATTCTACATAAATCCACTGAAAATTTGTCACTATGAGCTTAGAGCAACCGAACTCGAATTCACAAATTTTTAGTGATATAAAATCCTAACCCATTTGCATTCATCTGAACTGTAGAACGTATAACTTCACCATTGTATATTTTGTCTGAGTTTTCCTGCATTTTCACACTAGACTTCCTGTATTTCAAATTAATCGGATAATTACCAGCTACACTCCCAATTTAAAGTAAAAATATATCTAAATGTATCTAGTTTGGGTATTTTTCCTCCTTTATGATTATTGAAGTAACTCTTTTGTTTGTCTTGATTTTGTCTTTCAAGACTTGGACACTTAAAATCATAAAATAGAATTAAAATTATAGTTGTAACTACAATGATAGTCTATCAAAGTAAACATTTTCATCCTCTGTTTCAGTTGTCGTTAAAAAGAAGAGGAAGCAAAGATTTGCCAAAATCAGAAAAAAAGACTCAACAGACTCCCACAGAGGTATGTGGAAAGATTTTGTACATCAAGCATCTCTACATGAATATTCTAATTAGCTACATTTATGAGTACAAATGATGTCCAAATAGACTTATGCAAAACAATCAAGTGGTGCATGCCAATTATGCAGCTGTAGGTACAGGTGTTATAAAATGTTAAATTTATCTGCTTATAAAGCCACCACTGCCATCCCTGTTACAATTGCTTGTACATTGTAAGCACATAGCAACATGTTATTAGTACATTATGGTGCTGCTGGATTTGGGAACTGTGCTACTCTTGTTCTTTCCTAAGGAATAAGGTCTATAGAGTGGCCGCTCCTATAGCCCAGGAAGAGTAAAGACAGGAATGCTGTAGGAAGGCGACAGAGGCTGTGATATCTTTAGAAAACTGTACAGTAAAAAAAAAAGAAAAAAAAACTATAACAGTAATGGAAGAAACAAAAGAAAGGAGACAAAAGAATAGAAATGAAACATAAAAGACATACTCAATATGGGCTTGTTAGGAACGATAGAAACATAGCCAGAATGAAGACCAGCTCTGTCTCCAGGGTGACCAGGATTTCTAATGATCATTACAAGGGAGATTTTAAGACAGAAGAAGAAATACTTGGGACAGACGTAACACTATGGCTTCCAAAACCAACTAGATGATGACTTTGAATGTGTAAGTTGAAATGTACTCATGTATACATTTAAAAATGTTTATGTTACAAGGTATTTTCTCATTAGGTAAGTATAAACTGGTATTTAAATATTTAAAATTTGAAAAATGATTTGAATCGTTCTTTAAAAGCGCGGCATTGTCTGTGTATATTATTTTCCCTTTTCTTGCCACCTTCTCCTTGTTCTTTTCCTGGTCACTTCTTCTCTGACACTTACACAAGAACACTTGTAAGTCCCAGCATTCCAGGAACCCCAGAAAGTCTGATAGCCGATCGGAAAACCTTTTCTGCACCTCTCCCCCAGTGCCTCAGTGAGTTTTCCCCATCTTTGCCGCACCTGTAGCTGCATTGCTCTGAGCATTTTGCTGTGAATCATTTTATGCGTGGCCATGAATTCTCTCCCCAGCTTTGTGGGGTGGGGGACATGATGCTATACGCTCCCTGTTCTCAAATCTTCCTGGGTTTAATCTGGCATTTATTGTTTAGGAATCCATGTTACTACATTAGTTCACTTGTTTTCGCCACAATATTCTCCACTATTCTTGAGTGATTCTGTGATTCAGTGGCAGTGGGGTCCATTGAATCACTCACTTCTGTGACTGCAGGCACCCCACTGCCCTGAGATTCTTGTTCGGAATTGTTCTCCTCTCTGCACAGCATTCTGTTATCAGGGCCATCAGCCGGCAGTAAATGATCTGTCCGTGGTGTGTGGCACTGTGCATGCCTGGCACACACTCCTGAAAAGTCCCGTGTCTTCCTTTCTGAGGCTGAGCCACAGGAAATTGCCAACATGCTGCTGTATTACCACTGCTGTAATGGCAATTTCTTACTTTATTTTTATAACTTTGTTTCATTTTTTTATTTACTTCACCTTCTTTCATCTTGCATTTTGCTTCCAGCAGCAGAGTGACCTTATGTACTGAGGAATGGTATCGCCATCAATTAAGGAGCATGAAGGCCAGGTTGCCTAGGATGAAACTCTGGGACATCCCAGCAATATGACCTTCAGACAAGTTAATTTATTGTTTCTGTGCCTTGCTTCCTCATCTGTAAAAACAGAGATCACCATCAAGAGTTGTTGAGTAAATTAAATGCTTTACTGCATGTATTTGGTTAGAACGCAATTGGGCTTGTAACAGTTGCTTTTAAATCAAAGCCAGGCACAGCCCCTGTATTGCTGGTCATCCTTCCCCCTTACGTATATTTCCCCATGTAGCATTTATATTTCCTTGTGAGTGAGTCTTTAGCATATACAAAGATGACAACTTGCTTCATACCTCCGAGCATTTTGATTTTTCTTGCTTGGTATTCATTGTAGAAAATAGGCTCCTTTTTATTTAGTTCATTACTCAGTTACTGTAGACCAGGTACTTTCCACAAATCTTTAATTCTTTGTCAACAACTACATCTGGTATTTCTGCACCCAGTTTCAAACACAGCCTATAAAAGTTAGGTTATAAGATGAGGATACAACCGATTAGCATGCAGGATTCTTAGATTGCAGAAACTCACTCTGTATCTTGAAAAGATTTAAATAAGTAAAATAATCACTGTACCAATCATCCTCCTCAGGCATCTCCATCCTTCTTAATAACATCTCCCTCTGCTTCCCTTCCTTCTCCTAGCCCTCTCTAGAGGAAGATCCACAAGTCTCCACTTCTACTTTCTTTATTCAGTTGCATTATTTTCTCTGTGTGTGCGTTTCATTTCTGGAGACAATAGGTGCAGTGCAAGGAACATGAATGTTGGAATCAAGCTTGAATACAGATCATGCTCTGTCACTTACGCGCATGCAACTGTGTTACGAAACCTCTCTTCTCTGCAAGGGTAGAAGGATCACCTCCTCAGAAGTGGCCCGGAGGACCGAGCGGCGGAAGCAGTGGGGCGAGCACACCTAGCAGCTCTGCAACACTCTGCTTCCGTTAGTGGCTCGGAGGACAGGACCCTGGGGTACCCGCTTCCTCTCGCAGGCTCTGGGCCGCATCCACTGAGCATCTCTGGCAGAAGCTCGTTCTCTTCCCCTGCTTCCTTGTGAGAACGCCTGTCAGGTGCGGTGTCTGAGTGCTGAATGGGAAAGGGAGCTTTATTCCTATTTTACAAATGAGGAGGGCGGTGGCTAGCACTAGCTAGGATCCTATCACTAGCATTGTGAAAATAAAAAATAGAACAAGGAAACCGGAGTCTACAGAGGTTAGACAGCCCCAGCGTACATACTGCCAGAGAATTTTGTGAAATTGTCCTTGGGAAGTACATCCTTAGACGTGACAGAGTACTTCTATAAAAGCTCTCAGGGAAGAGTTGGGTTTGTTTCCCCTTTAGTTCTTTTCAGTTCAGTGGTCAGGCTCTCAGAGCTGTCGTGCGACAGGTGAGAGGCCTTCCACAAGGCCGTCATCTTTTCAGCAGGTGGAACCACCTCCATCCTTTCAGAGTGGTGCTGGTGGCTCCATTTGAAAAGTACTGGAAACAGAGTAGCTCCTGTGTTCCATCGGATGGACCCCTCTCTGGGGTCGGGTCCTCCCTTCCTACCAGGCTTGAAAACAACTCACCTTGAGTAAAGATGGAGAGGACCCTTGTCTGGGTGGCAGAATGATGCAGAGCCTTAGTTTAAGAGAGAACTGAGTTCAAATTCCACCCTTCTTTTCCCGCTTTCTCGCTGTGTAATCCCTTGGATGAGTCACTGGATGTCTTTAAACCGGACATTTCTGTAACAACTCGCGCATGGATGGTGGATTTGAAGGGGATCCCACTTGTAAAGAACTTCAAGCTTCCGGCCCAGGGTGGCTGCTCAGCAAGGCGGTGGAGGCAAAGGGACCACGTGTTCCTCCGAGGGGGGAGATGCTGTGTTTAGTGCAGTTAGCGGGATTCAAACTACACCAAGTGAAACAGAAGACACTGTTGGGATGGCCACCAAACAGTTGTGTGCAATTACAATATATAATCATCTCTGCATAGTGATGACGAAGGGTTTTCTGCCTGTTTCTGTCCCTTTTTGTTTCCGTGTAATAGTATCCTAATCTTTAAGAATGTAAGAGAATTGGAGAAGACACATAATATCTACTTCTGCATGCCATTACGTCTTAATTAGAAAAACAATTATTCTTGCAGGTGTCCTGGCTTGATTGTGTTCCTCATTTCCATAAAATGATCTATGTTTTTCCTTCTTTCCACCCCTAAATGAGGAGGACAACGAAGACCTGAAATGCCAGCTGCAGTTCGTCAAAGAAGAAGCCGCTCTGATGAGGAAGAAGATGGCCAAGATTGACAAAGAAAAGGACAGGTTCGAGCACGAGCTGCAGAAGTACCGGTCCTTTTACGGGGACCTGGACGGCCCCCTGCCCAAAGGGGAAGCCGGGGGCCCGCCCAGCACCAGGGAGGCCGAGCTCAAGCTGCGGCTGCGGCTGGTGGAGGAGGAGGCCAACATCCTGGGCCGGAAGATCGTGGAGCTGGAGGTGGAGAACCGAGGGCTGAAGGCGGAACTGGACGACCTGCGGGGAGACGACTTCAGCAACGGCTCGGCCAACCCGCTGCTGCGCGAGCAGAGCGAGTCGTTGTCGGAGCTGCGGCAGCACCTGCAGCTGGTGGAGGATGAGACGGAGCTGCTGCGCAGGAACGTGGCGGACCTGGAGGAGCAGAACAAGCGCGTCACCGCCGAACTCAACAAGTACAAGTTCAAGTCCTCGTCGGGCGCGGGCCACGACAGCAGCGCGCGGCTCCACGACAGCGCCAAGAGCGAGGCGCTGCAGGAGGAGCTGAAGGCGGCGCGCCTGCAGATTAACGAGCTGAGCGGCAAGGTCATGCAGCTGCAGTACGAGAACCGCGTGCTCATGTCCAACATGCAGCGCTA